GGGGCCAGCTGGTCAGCACAGGATTTCAGACAGGCCGGTGTAACACAATCTGGGCCTGGTGCATTTCTCCTTTTCTGCTTCCGGAAGACCTGGCGCACCTCGTCTTCACTGATTTGAGGTGCAGGTGTGGGGGAGAGGGGGGTTGCAGGAGGTGTGAATGGTTGTGTGGAGAGGTGTTCAGGGCGGGTGTGGGGTGTTTTTTCAAACCTGTAGTAGAACTCATTCAGAGCTCACATGCACTTGTGGAGGTATGTAAACACTCACGAGAATGAACGAGCAAAACTCCTGCGGCGAATAGAAAGGCTTACAGTTAATGAAAAGCGCTTCTAGATCGGGACAGCACATCTTCTTTAACACCGTTACATCTGTACACCACCTTTCGTTGATGTAAAAGCATGTCCCGCCGCCGCGCAATTTTCCCATTGATTCTGCGTCGCGATCCGCTCTAAACAGCTGAAAGCCTGGCAGATTTAACGCACTGTCCGGTATAGTGTCATTCAGCCAGGTTTCCGTGAAACACAGAGCAGCAGAGTGTGAGAAATCCTTATTTGTCCGGGAGAGCAAAAGGAGTTCGTCCGTTTTGTTGGGTAGAGAGCGGAGGTTCGCTAGATGGATGCTAGGCAACGGCGTTTGAAATCCGCGCTGCCTGAGCTTCACGAGGGCGCCGGCTTGCTTCCCCCGTCTGCGCGTCCTGAAGCGCTTGATCAGCGCAGCTGATCCGCCAACTGCTATGTCCAGCAAAACATCAGAATAGTCGAAAACCGGTAATATATCGGGTGATGTGTAGTGCCGAATGTCCAGCAATTCGTCTCTGGTGAAACTGATTGCAGGGATATAACTAAAGGCAGGACAAACTAACAAAAACAACTGCAGAGCACGCCACGGAGGCCGCCATCTTCATCGGCGCCATCTTGTTATGAATTAACTATTCAATTAATAAGTCTGAATTAGGGCCCAAAAACCACGTTTTTTTCTTATTAGATACATTTTTGCCACCTTATCTTGAACTGGGGATCCACTTTTGTTCATTTTGGAGGTATTTTCGCCTCAAGCCCCAATTAATTTCCAACCCCGGTCAAGATGCACATAAACATGCATGCAATCGTGTGCACACATTACAGAAATGCCTCTGAAGGGCTCAAGGAACATAAATTTAGTATTACGAGAGAAGGGTTGATGAATGTTCTGTAGTCTTAAAATGTAAATATTTTCACATTGTGTTAAATAAAAGGGTCAGTGAAACACTGCATGAGAGACTGACCTCAATACACATGCAAAATAACCTATAGGATGGTGCGTGTCTGTAGGCGTTTCAAATACAAAGTTGGAGGAAACTTGCTGAATGCAAAGCAGAATGCATATATGCAACATGTTGATAATAAAGACTCAGTGGGAAATCTCTAAAAATGAATTGTGCCACTGATATAATCATTTATTTTGCATGTTTTCTGCATTGTCTAAGCATACTATTCACCAAAACTAATTTAGCAAATCAAGTAAATGTGATATTTAAATGATTAAACAAAATTAGTACTAATGACTGCAGATTGCACAGCATAAAACCCCAGATTGCAGGCCAGTTCGGAGCATTTTGCAGCAAACAGCAAATCACTACAATCTGACATGCTTTGCTGGGCCTATATTACTGCTACAATGATCACTGGAAGATCCTTATTAAATGAAATTCTGTTCACACCAGCCTTTTTGTGCTGGTAAGAGCACAATGCGTCAAGCAAATATCGCCACCGTTTGAAAATGCACTGCATCCATTTGCATAGAAAGGCAGTTTGCTCAGAGAATGTGAAGCGTTGCTGTGACGTTGCAGCTGGTTAAAGCAACTGTATGTAAGGGTTTTTACCTTGAAATATTAGTTTCAGAATAATTCCGAATGGCACACTGACTAATAGTATGACGAATGCACCCCAAACATCTGTTCTGAGAGCATGTAAGTTTGATGAGCCGTGAAGCAATCTGTGGAAAGGGCGAATTGCTTTACGGCAGAAACAAAGGCAAAAGGAACATCTAGTATCCGCTGTAACTATGACACATATTTATGGATTTTATAGATTTATAGATATATTTATGTGAATTACACTTACTTAGCAGTAGGGGGCTTCAAAGTTGCAAAAATACGCAGAACTACATGCAGTGCAGTACGAAGGGTGAGCCAAATCTGAAGTTAAGTTATCAAGCTTTGAAGATGTATTCCCTCATTACAGCTCATGAATAGAGGTTGAGCACTCAGGGAAATGCCAGGGCCGTGTGACTTATCGTGCTACTCATTCGGTGTGGGACATTCATGTATGTGGTTGCATATGTTCAGAGGTATGAGGAAGCACAGCGTGACGCAAGTGTGGTGATATGCTGCTTCAAAGAACGTCATATCTGATAAAGTGTCATTTCCTGTTAACTGCTTCTGGAATAACAGACTAGCATTTAACAGATTTCTACTGAGGATAAATTAGTTCTGTCAGGACCACTATCGTCAATATAACTTATGATTAGCATACATTTTAGGTTGGGGGAATGGTTCTGTTCTGGGCAAACACTCCCTGCCCATCCATGCAGCCTAGCATGGATAGGAGCAGGGAGAGCAGAATACCCCCTCTAGGGTAACAGAACAGAACCAACATCAATGATAAATGTAGCAGATACCATTAATATTCTACGTGATTATTTTAACAACATGATTCAATGGTCTGACTCAATGATATATTCACTGCCAAGTCCTGACTGGACGAGAGGAGGAGCTGGGGATTGAGGTGGGTGATTAGTTCCTGAGCGAAGCGATAGCTGCTGAATAATGACTGGAGGGACCTTATTATGGGAATTATAATTGGTGTCCTATGACCCATCCCAAATGACTTTCTTAATCCTTATTCATTTCCATTATTATAACAATCTTCAATATAAAGTGTCTCACCTCTTAGAAACATCTGCAACACCTCAGTCAATGTCATTAATGATTTGTTTTGCAATCTAAAAGTCTTTCCACTTTAATTTACTTTCTCCGTTCACAAAATTGAATATGAATAATCACATTTAGTCTTCCTTAAAAAGACAGCTGTAATTGATAGATTGCCCATTGTTGCCACTGTTTTGTCTCAACTATTCACTATGGTTTGCTAAATAACTTTGCCCGTGGTGGCAGGTATTTATATTTGCATGTGAGTAAATATAGCATTTTGACAAAGAACTGTAGATGCAGATGTTTTCCAGAATAATGGTTTGCTAGTTGTTGCACATATTTGTATATATATAGGCTGCAGGTTCTCCAGTGAAAAGCTGCACACTTCTGGCAACCATATTGTTTGTTTGTTTGATTTCGCAAGGGTTTTAAAGTAGAAGCTCAGTAGATCTTGTAATTTAAAGTCTTATCTTTATCTTTGTAGATTTGTTTTCTGGGAAATTCGCATCTTTCTGAGGGAAGCGGTGTCAGTTTCCGTTGCTCTTGTTCAGTCTGTTGTGTGTGGTGTACTCGGCGTCATTCTGTGGTGAAATGAGCCTTTTTCTCTTGGCAGCAGTGTGTCCTGTAACAACAGCGGTTAGAGTTTCACACTCTGCACTTTTACCCTCTGTCTGAGAGACAACAGAAACTTCTTTTACAGTATTTGTGTTCCAGCGCAGTAATGATATTCCTCAAGCGGTATTTGTTCTAATCCATTAACCTAAGTGTCCTAAGTAACCTAGGTGTACTTTCTGTGTTTGGTAAACTTCATACTTTTTAAGATTTCAAAAAAGTATAGTGATAAAGTGATAGATTGATCTTTTATTTCTTACATGTAGCCTGTTAAAGGGATGGTTCACCCACAAATAAAAAAAAATCCTGTCATTATTTACTCACTGTCACTGGCTTTTAGTCTTTCTGTTGTTGTTCTCATTATCGTGGTCTTTTAATTTGTTTTCAGTAGTTTCCTGTGGTTATTAATTTGATCTGCACAGGTGTTGGTCATTATTTCCCTCATTTGCCCAGTAATTAAGTTGCTCTGTTTTCACCTTTCTTTTGTCTGGTAGGCCTATTGTTCATGTGTAACACGCTGTCTCGCATGTGAGTTTTCTATTATAAATTATTTGTTCTATTTTTATCATCATCGTTAAATCTGTATGTTTCTTTCTTCTGTTGAACACAAAATATATTTTTTAGAAGGTTAGTAACCAAACAGTTGACAGTAGCCACTGATTTCAGTAGCATGGAAAAAATACCATGGAAGTCAATGGCTACCGTCAACTGTTTGGTTCCCAACATTCTTCAAAATATCTCCATTTGTGTTCTTTTCATTGTGAAATGAGTAACAGTACTGCCAGGCTGCTGTTAAGTCTGATATGGACTGGTCTGCCCCTCAATAACAGCATCTTACATTTTTACAGATTCATAAAATAATCAGCACTCAACCACTCAAACTCTTGAGACTTATCTTGTTCAAATAAACCTCAGTCACTTGTTTCCAGTGTGTTTCTAACTTCAAGCACTGCACAGCCAGAAACCGCAAATAGTTTGATGTCAAGAATCTGCAGAAGTTCATAGAGAGTAATTTTGTGCAGCTTAGTTTTAATAAATGCCCTTTTTACTATTTGCATTTTGTAGAAGCTTTTGCACAAACTGACTCGAATCGCACTCAGGATCTTGACATCCAGGAGTTCTAGCATTCTTTCAGAATCAAACCCATGACCTTGGCATTGCGAGCGTCGTGCTCTTTTATTTCAGAATTATTGTGTTCCAGTAGATCAACAGAATTTTGGTTTTCTTTCGCGTGAACCTTTTAAGTGTATGCCAATGCCATGCAAGCTAAAGTGCAAAACTAGTTTGTTCAGATCAACCCTAAGTATGAGAAAAAAGTAAGAGCAAGTCTACCAAACACCAATAATAACATGAACAGTTTAGTTTTTGGTACTTCTGCTGTGCACAGTGTTTAATGCATATCCTCAGTTGCCCTCCTCTGATGAAGACTGTTTTCATGCATTATGAAAGTGTAACTCTCTCATTCTGCATGTCTCCTCAGCCTCTGCTGCTCCAAACCACTCTGGAACGACTCCGATATCACAAAGAACAAGGTAAGCCATGGAAAATTTCATTCTGAGCCACAGAACAGAGGTGTTGTCAGAACACAGGAAGGATTTTTTTTATGATTACTGCATTAATTCTGCTGTGTTCTTATTTGTCGTTCTTCTTTTGACTTTGTGTGTCAGATATCAGCGAGTCCGTGGATGACAACAGCATGATGTTGAAGGCCTAATATACAGCAGTATGTCAGGTAATGTAAAAAAAAAACATTTTTAAATCGCAACACTTCACCTGTATCGTCTGCATAGGCAGCTCCCTTCTAAGGCAGAATCCCATCCATTTTTTTTGTCTTTATCCAGTACAGTCCAGGATGGCATTCCACCATCTTTGCTTTAAAAGAGAAAGGAATGATTGGCATCTTGTTAGTTTCTCTGTTCTGTTTCATATGAGTAAAGCATGTTCCAGGTTAGTTTGTTCCAGAAAATTCATTCTGAGTCATTGTGCAGTGTTGACAGATTTGTGATCGTGTTGCTGCAGTAAAGTAATACAGGATCATGCTTCTCAGCTTGTTTCGGGTATGTAACTATGTACAGTTAATCATTTGGCCTGCAGTTGCCCTATTCAAAATAAGTATATTAATGTACATTTGAATCAAAATCAATATTGGGAAATACATTTGGGGAAATAATCAACTATTGTAACAAATATTAAAACAAATATTATTATCGTAGTCATGCAGCAATATGAGAAGCACACAATAAAGGAAAAAAGAGTCAACTATTAATTACATGTATTTTTGAATGAAATGTTTTTCACAAAGTGTAAATGTGATGTTCCTTTATAATTTAGGAGTGCTCATATAATGCCTAGCTTTATGAACAGAGCTATTATCAGTATTATATCAGCATATGATGGAGGTAACACTTTAGATTATGGAACACATATTTACTATTAACTATTAAGAGTTTTTCCTCAAACTCCTAATTTGCTGCTTATTGAGAGTAAGTAAGGTAGTTGTTGAAGTAGTTATGTTTAAGCATTGGGTAAGGGATCTAGAATATGGTCATGCAGAATTAGGCTTTATTATGTGCTTTATAAGTGCTAGTAAATGCTAGTAATATGCATGCTAATCTAAAGTGTTTTCTTGATGTCTGTTGTCTCTAGTTGAAGTCTAATAATAAAAGAGAGAATTATTCGTTGAAAACATTTCAGCAATATCTGACATTCTTTGACCCAGTTCCTACCTGTGTGTTATCTAAAGTGTGAATGAGTTTTCTGTGTGTTTAGCAGTGCTTAAGATTGTGATCTCTGAACTGAATCATGTCTGACTTTCAGTGTCTTAAATGCTTTATCTTTTGCGTTTTCTGAAAAAGAGATTCAGCACTGCCTCAGAGTGGCACGTTCACTCAGACACAGAGGCTGCATTCGAAACCGCATACTTCCCTACTATATAGAAGGCGAAAATCAGTAGGTGAGCTAATAAGTATGTCCGAATCCTTAGTATTCGTGAAAGAGTAGGCGAGAATTACCTGCATGGTGTACTAATTCTCATGAGAGTCGGACGAGCGTGTACTTGAGTTGCGTCCGAATATGCCTACGTACCTACTACATGCATAGTAGGAGAAAAGAGTACGTGAAGAGAGTAGTATGTCCGAAACCACAGTATTCATAAAGGAGTAGGCGGGAAATCCCCGGATGTCCTTCTGCTTCACTGAAGTGCTCATCGATGGACACTTTTCTTTTCTTGATGTCTGTTGTATCTAGTTGAAGTCTAATAATAAAAGAGAGAATTATTCGTTGAAAACATTTCAGCAATATCTGACATTCTTTGACCCAGTTCCTACGCGTGTTATCTAAAGTGTGAATGAGTTTTCTGTGTGTTTAGCAGTGCTTAAGATTGTGATCTCTGAACTGAATCATGTCTGACTTTCAGTGTCCTAAATGCTTTATCTTTTGCGTTTTCTGAAAAAGAGATTCAGCACTGCCTCAGAGTGGCACGTTCACTCAGACACAGAGGCTGCATTCGAAACCGCATACTTCCCTACTATATAGAAGGCGAAAATCAGTAGGTGAGCTAATAAGTATGTCCGAATCCTTAGTATTCGTGAAAGAGTAGGCGAGAATTACCTGCATGGTGTACTAATTCTCATGAGAGTCGGACGAGCGTGTACTTGTGTTGCGTCCGAATATGCCTACGTACCTACTACATGCATAGTAGGAGAAAAGAGTACGTGAAGAGAGTAGTATGTCCGAAACCACAGTATTCATAAAGGAGTAGGCGGGAAATCCCCGGATGTCCTTCTGCTTCACTGAAGTGCTCATCGATGGACACTTTTCTATCCCAGAAGCCCACGGGAGAGGATACGTCACCATCGAACAGAGCGGAGAACAGCGACGCGGGTGTTTACAAATGTGAGTATTATAAACCAAAACACGGTCCCCTGTGTTAAAATCACATTTGTTGAACTACTCTAGAGTAAACAGTTGAATTGTTGAAGGTGTAAAGACGCTATATAGTAGGGTATAGTTTTGATTTTGCTGTAAAAACACGTTTTATTATGTATAGCGAACAGGGGAGCTCCAGTGTGAGCACACTTACGTCTCCAAAGTGGATTTACATAAACCATATACATCTTAAATACGTCTATTTAACATCTGACAGGAAAATGTTCTAAAAGAATTGCAGATTAGCACATCTAATAGACATCTGAGAGAACAGCGACGCGGGTGTTTACTAATGTGAGTATTATAAACCAAAACACGGTCCCCTGTGTTAAAATCACATTTGTTGAACTACTCTAGAGTAAACTGTTGAATTGTTGAAGGTGTAAAGACGCTATATAGTAGGGTATAGTTTTGATTTTGCTGTAAAAACACGGTTTATTATGTATAGCGAACAGGGGAGCTCCAGTGTGAGCACACTTACGTCTCCAAAGTGGATTTACATAAACCATATACATCTTAAATACGTCTATTTAACATCTGACAGGAAAATGTTCTAAAAGAATTGCAGATTAGCACATCTAATAGACATCTGAGTGATGTATGTGTGCTATTATAGTAGAATTCACTTTTGTCAACACTGCTTTAGAGGAATGTAAGTAATGTAAATAAACAAATCTACATAAAATAACTAATCATAAGTTATCTATTTCATTTGTCCATTAGTTCTACTGATAAATTGAGGAGCGTTTGTGTTGGATAAAAGCGACACAGCTACCTCAACATGTAAATGCAGTATTGAGCAGATAAATCAGAGCGGTGACTTGACTCTTGTCTGGATGTTACAGGGACCGAAGAGACACATGTGTGTTTATCAGGTGCAGAGTTACTGATGAAGGAATGCTGCCATCAAAGGCTCTCAGTGAGTACACTAAAGAAATTAATAAAATATCTTTTTAAATCTTAAGTTGTAGTTTTTTTAAATTATTGCAATTTCAAACAGCTATTACAGCACTTTTCTGATTCTTGATTTCTGTGCATTTGCTGCAGAGCTTTTGCGGAAAAAAAGGGAAAACCCGAATCAAAAATATAAAGTAAGATCATTTTGTTACTTCTAATACAGAAATCAAATGGCATTGTGCTGTTAAAATGATTGCTTTTGTATTAAATTTGTGCATTTTTGCAGGAGCTGAAATGTCTGCAGACTGGTGTGAGCAGTGAGGATGGAGAAGTCCACAGCAGCATCCTGGAAATGGTCCAGTGCCATGGATGAGACGCTCCATCACTCCACCTCTTACTGCCTCATCAGGACCAGATGTTGCTGTGGCCTTTTCATCCTCAGTGACCCCACAGCCAGCGAGAACATCTAGAGAAAGACTAAAAGACATTGAGGATGTGAGTTTGGTCAAGTTTGCTCTGCTGGTTTCTGTTCATACAACATCAGTCAATGGAGCTCGAGTTTCAGAAGCTTCAAAAGAATCATCAAATAATGTCACGAAGCTTCTGAAAGTCAGTCTCCATTACAGTTCTTATTACAGAAACAGAGCTCTTATTACAGGGACCTCAATCCCCCTGCAGCAACCTGGAGTAAAGAGCCTTGCTGAAGGACACACTGGTGACGAACCAGCAACCTGCTTACCAGCTCAGTGCTTTAGCCCACTACACCACAAAAGTAATGAAGCTATTAGGGCTGTCAAAAAAATAATAATTTGAATTTCGAATATTCATCGAATTGAAAATAAAAATCCACATTTGAATGCAAAAAAACGTTGTATTAGAATTTTAGGTGTGCGTCAGGCAGACTTATCAGTGGCGCACGAGATGCGATGACGATGTAAGTATCGTTGCATCTTAATGCTTTTGTTAGCCTATCCTACGGTGGCCGTGAAGTGCAAAGTGCAAAGCAAATCACAATTCTGAAAACAAAATAACAAATTACAAACGCAAATGCAAGTCTAAAAAACAAAATAACAATTCAGAAAGCACAACAACAATTCAGAAAACATTATAACAAGTCAGAAAACACAAGGACAAATCAGACAAACCGGAAGAGGTATGTATAGTTGAGACGGCGCCATTGGTTTGGGATTACTCACCACTGAGTGGACGAGACATCTGTCAATCAACATATACAGAGAAGAACCAGCCGAAGAACAGCAGAGTCGTGGTAGAAAGTTCAGAGATGGTATTAAAGTAGCTCAGTTTAAATGTATTGTATGAATTGCCCTCACTATGGAATGAAAAATACGGAGTGTCTATTTACATTTAGTTAAAAGTGGCTGTAAAACATCAGCTTCAGTGGCGCAGATGGATAAGCGTGTGCCCTTGGCTTTTTGACGCGATCTTTTGCCAAACTTTTTTTCCCTCCCTTTTCAAATCTCGTATTAGCAATGGATTCTATTTACACTAATTGAAAATAGCAGTATATTTTAGCAATATGCTATTTACACTAAGTGCAAATACCTATTTACACTATGTTAAAATAGCAGGATTTCTACTATCAAGTATACTACTTGTTGCAAATAGTGGCAATTATCTGCACTTCAGTATTGTAGTACATTATAAAACAGTATGCAATAATAACGTATTGAGTGTAAATTAAATTAATGCATCCCACAGCATCTCAAGTTTTTAAATGAAAAAAGTACTCTTTGTGATTGGTTTTCGGTCCTTTGTATTAAACTATACATACATGCATGATGCTGTTTTGTTTCTAATTGTTTAAGCAACTTTATTAATTATATATGGTTTATAAACATTATTTTAATCATTATGCACTTTTTTCAAAGATAGTCGTGTTATTTTATT